CGGTTTCTACTTTTTCCGCCAAGAAGAGCTTGCCTGATTTGAAGCAGTGCTTCTCTGACCTGCAGGTCAGTGACAACTTGCAAGCAATCATCAACAGATGTCGGGATAGGACACAGTCAGCTGCTGTGGGTGTCATTGCCTGATATTGCATGAGCCAACATCAGCGACCATCTGCTTCCGGATGCAGCACTTCCGGTCCAGTATCTCAAAGTAAACGATGGGTCAGAAAACGTCAAAACATGTCCAAACCATTGAACAAATATAAAATATATAAACATGCCCCCATTTCCAGGATGCTTTGGACAGCCTTTCTTCCTCGCGCTGAGCAGGGAATGCTTCTCAAGATTGTCTCAAGAGTCTTAAGAGTTCTTTTCTGCATGAGTGCGTCAAGATTTCTGGGGGAAGCTCCGCAAAAGTGATGTAACTGGATGTCTACCAGGACATACTACGGCACGAAGGTGTCCAGGTTGGACCCATTTCACCGGTACTTCCCCCGGTTTCTCGACCTCATGAACTGGTTAGAGGCCCAGCATAGCCGGTAGGTCCCCCAGCAGAATGGAGTTGACCTGGCTCTCCAACCAGAAACCGTTGAGCAGTGCATCGAATTATTGGCGAGAGTCTGAAGACATGAAGCGGCTGTTTCAAGCCAGAGGTTGGTCCAAAACGGTGTTCAACACAAAAGTCAAATCAAGTCCCGTTGGATATCAGCGGCCTGCTTAGTTGTATTGCCCTCATAAAACGGGGCCCATGTTTTTGTCCTTAACTCAACAAACTCTCGTTTCAACTCATCTGTTTTGACTTCACAATTGCCGTTGATTTCAACGAATTAGGCCTCGCTGCTGTTGCTCCCAGAGTCACTTTCACTGCTTTCCTTTCTCAAGCGACCGGAAAGAAGGTCTCAACTTCTAGTTGACAAGGGCCTCTTCCATTAGATTCAACATGATTCAACTACAATGCACATGTGGGGAAGGATCAAAACCTGGAGCCACCATGTAGCCAACGACCGACACCAGGTATGTAGGTCAACCAAAGGTATCCTGGTTTTCCCATAGCCATGTGTTCAAGTCTTGACTGGTATGAATGGTGCAAACCCAGCAAGCATCCAACATCTAATTAAGTAACAATGCAAAAACATCCACTGATGAGCAAATATTCAATGTGTCTTTACTGAGGTCTTCCTGATGTTTGTCATTCTGACCAATCCCAGCCCCAAACAACTGAGATCAGCCAATATTATCTTCAGTAAATCCACGAGAGAAGAACGGGATGCGCAAATTCTAGTCAAGTCTCTTGCTCTTCCTCTTCCCCAGCCAAACATTGTGCCACCTTCACCAGCGCCAACATCACGGGAATCTCCAGCAAGGGGCCCAGCACTGTGGCCACTGCCTGGCTATTCGGCGCCGTTCGGTGGTGACTCATGTGTTGGACGAAAACAAGAAACACATCAAAGGCGCAAAGGCTATAGGACAAGAAAACACCAAATAAACTTTACGGTGTTTTACTCGCACAGAGTGCGTGCCGAACTCTTTCCCCGTATCATGTATTACAGACCAATGTCAACCTCGGTCCAATGGTTGCAAAACTATAGAGGCTGCAGACGGGGCGTTCTCCGGGCGAAAACAACACAAACAAACGGAAGATGCTGAAGTCCCCGCAAAAACCCCCCGTCCAGAACCACTATAGACTCTAGACATGGAGTGTAACCCTCGGGCTTTTTCTGCTCTGGGGGGTGGGTCTGTTGCATCGGAGTTGTAACCTCGTTCGGTGCAGCAGGCCGTGACCTGCCTCAAAACGTCATCTGCGGTCGTCCTCGTATGTGCGGTCTGGGAATGTCACGCCAAAAAAGCATGGGCATATATACAGTTCTGGCTCGTGAACGAACGACCCGCAGTTAAGTCTATCTTTGCTTTTGCCAGTGGGTTTGGATTGTAGCCTATTCTTGAGCACATCATGAGGGCTAGGGTTCCGGGTTGGTGGGAAAATCACAACTCAGCTTTGGAAGTTCCTGTATCATCCTTTAGCATCTAAGAATCATGCTAGAGGGCCGTTCTGATTTTGTTCCCTTTCAAATTGCTAAAATACAACATGTAAAGCACATGTTTGGATAGTGATTCACGCTTGTATACTTCGTTGTGACCTCGCACAACAAGGCCGTGCAAGTAACCTTAAGAACCTGCAAATCAAAAGGCCGGGAAAGCCCAGTGGTTGACCTCGGGATGCAACGCGTTTTCCACATGAAATGGCCCCCCCACACACAGCACCCGACACCTGGTTCGAGCTCGTTCCAAAGATGGCGGTGCAGGCGGCCAAGGCCAGCTCGAAGTTGTTACTCGCAGCGGTGAAGGCAAAAGTAATCGTTTGGGCTGAGTTCGCTCGCAGCAGCTTGGCCACCGCCCAAGAGAGAAAGAACATCAGAATAAAGTAAGCCTCGAAATAAACTGTCAACAGGGTCCCGTCCCAGCGATGTGCCGAGAAAACGTATTTTAGATCAGCCCCCACACCCCTCCTACACTTCAGTGAAGGAGGAAGGAATTTGCCAAAAGGGGAAAAGTGCTCTAAAAAGGCAGCCAAGGAAGCCAGCAAGGGTACACAAACCCAGAAGATGTTTCCGATGCCAACAGAGCCACTGAGCAAGGGCTTGCTCATCTCTGCAAACATCATCAGCACCGTCCAAAGCAAGGCCAACAACCCGGAGGGAGCAAATCGCGGCAGAAACGTGGTGCGGTAGCTGGAGTAGTTGCGACCCACCAGCCACATGGTCACCTGGAACTTTGCCAGAGAAACATCCTCCCGTCCCAGAAGCTTGATCGCAAACAAATGACTTTGATAGGGGAAACAGAAACAGCATGAAACCTCCTGAAGCAATCCCAAGTCACACCCAAAACCAATGGGATTCCCAAATAGACCAGCACATTTCGCAGCACTGTCATGAAACTCACATCCCCCCTGACGTCCGCTCCCAAGGCCCTCGCCACAATGCCCAGTAGGGTGACCACAGGCGCATAAGTGATGACTGTGATCACTGAATTGAGCAGTACCAATGAGACACAAAGGAACTGGTCCCCACCAGCGATGGCCGTCCAGACCAACACCATGGCGATACAGCGCGCCGTGCCGATGTACATGACGCCCTGCAGCAAATCAGCATGCTCAGAGAGGGTGGCCAAGCCCACAAAGAGCATCATGAAGGGACCAACTGCCCAGTTCATTAACAAACTCCCCAGAGCCAAGCGTTTTGGAATGGTCCGAATGGCAGTGAAGAGTTCATCATACTTTACTGCTGCAAAGGGGGGTAAGAGCATCACGATCATGCCAATGGCCGTAAGGATATTCGTGTTGCCCACCTTCATGGCATGCAAGGCGCTCCGAATCCCTGGAATTTGACCAACCCCAAGACCCACAGCCACAGCCAGCAGAATCCACAGTGTGAGATACTTTTCGAGACCCAGCTTCACTGGAGGCTTTCGCTTGAACTCAGCTTCAGTGCAGCATGCCAAGTATTCTTCAGGGCTACAGTACTGCCAGGGCTGCGAGACATCAATGTTCAAATCGGCCAAGCGCACTTTCCCATCTTCTGGCAGTCGCTTGCCTCCAACGCAAATAGCTGGAGACCCTTCCTGGTCGTGAGGCTGCAAGGCACGGAAGTGAGCTTTGTAGTCAGCCACGGTGATCACGTGTGGTGGGATCTCACCAAAAGTCCCGTTCGACATAGCTCAAAGGAAGGTGGTCGGGGAAATCTGGGAAATGAAGAGTCAAAATGAGCCAAAATCTCTGTGGTCGAGGTTCAGCTGCTGTCAGGAAAGCTCGCTCAATATATATATATATACCTTGAGTCTCCAATGACCCTTTTAAATTTTCCTTTCCAAGAAAAAGAGGTTTTTGAAAGAAAGCACTCTTTTTTGCATATGTCACGAAATGCTCCTTTTTTGTTTGTGCCCTGTCAGATCCTCCTTAGACAGTGTCCTGAGACCTTTTTTCGGCGTCCAAAACGCGTCTTTTTGCGTCCAAAAGGCGTCTTTAAGCGTCTGTGCCGGACGCGTCCGGATGAAGATTCACTCTGCACTTTTTTTTGAGTCCTCATCTCTAAAAACGCGTTTTTCGAGCAAAAACGCAAAAGTCTTTGGAGACTCAAGGTATATACATAAAAGGTATACTATATATATATACACAAACACATCGATAAACCGTGCAACAAGAAACATTGGGCGCAACTTAAATCACATCGCAAGAACAGATTATCTATAGTCACGATGCAAACAAATGACAATGCTGCAGTGACAGGAACCAACATAGCACTTGAGAGATTTCAGTCCATCGCAGAATGTGACAGAAAACCGCCCCAAAGGGATCTATGATGTCAGCCTCTATGACGAGGCACAAAAAGGAAGCATATGCGTGTATCTGATATGTTCAAAAAATAATGTGACCATGTGTACATGTGTGTATATATAAGGGACTGTTGTTGGGAAAACATGTTTTTGTGTTTACGCAAAGGGTAGAGACCTGTCGTAAGTGCTGATTGTTGCACCAAAAGAACGATTGAAAAGTTGTGAGCAAACAATCACAAGCTCACATTCCTTTGTGTATATACATGCATATGTACATACAGTGGTCTTGTTTTTCTTCTCAATGCACTCCTGAAGTAGAACAAAAGAACAGCAAGCAATCCCGGACATGCTGCTTGTATCTTGTTGCACCTTAAAAAGTGTCAATCCACCAGTCATATCCTCAAAACAAATCCATGCCTCCTCCCTGCTGTCCCAGCACTGGAAAATCTCAATCCTCAGTGAGAGATCCTCAGTTTAGCAGGCAAACGAAGCTCTTCACCCCAAATAGCATGTAGTGTGTAGCGGTTCAACCTCCTCATGAGTCCCACAACAGGACGAAACCTAGCATGAAACCTCATCATTGACACAGCCTGAACTCTCTTTGAATGACGGGAGATTTCTTGATGTGCGCCGAACAGACCACGATTCACGACTTCATTTCCCTGGCATTGAAGGAGGACGGTTTGTTCATTGAATGAGAATGGGATTTCTCACAGGTCAAAGAGGCGAACAGGGACATGTGCGTGCGACAAGCTTGCTTCTTTGTTCGGTGTTGATACCCACGATGTGGTGAGACCCACCATTCAGCTAAGTGTTATGACATCAACCGTGTTATGGATCTTTGTGGCATTGTAGGCGTAGTAATCTCAAAGACTCTGCATGCTGCATACACAAATAGACTATCATGAAATGGTCTTTGCCACCACGATGTGTTGCTGTGCTGCCAATACACACAGAAGTTAAATGATGGCACGGCTACATCAGCCACACAAATGACCTGCTCTTCTCCAATCTCAGGCCGCAACTTCCGCTTCACAGTGGCCACATGGAGCCGCACTGTACTGGGCATGGGCAAATGAACATGTTGGAGATGAAGTAGTACTTGGGCAAAATGGACCTCATTGATTCTACCTGGCCTCACTCTGTGCATCACTCGTTCTGAAGCCAAGGACAGCTTGGTGGGAGATGTTCAAGGACTGCTCGAAAGTCATGTCAGGTGCTCACTTCTGTGCAACTCTTCGATGTGCTTCTACTCAGTATACCGCATACCCTTGAGCCAAATCTGGAACATCATATCTTGTGCATCGATTGGGAAGTGAAGACCACCCAAGGTTGCTTACCTAGACCACCCGAGGGGTCACCAATGGACTGCCCCACGCTACTTATGGATCTTCATTGGACTCCCTTTGGATCGTCCTAACACTGTAATCATGAGCATTTGCTTCATGATTGCACAGATCCAAATTCTTAATTTTGATAACTGCACTGTCATCATGATATCACACTATAATCTCATCATACCAATTCGATCTTGATAATCATACTAGTTATGATATAATCTTGAGACCAATGTAATCACCCGTTTCATCAGGTTTCCCAGATCTCTTCTCACACCTTCGCAGTGCTTCCCGGAAGTCAGGAAGGATCAGTTCCGTCTCGGTATATCGGTGGCGAACTGTCTAGGGTTGTTCATTGCAATGGTCTCAGAGTAGGTGGCACCAACCCCCAAATTGATGGTGTCGTTTTTTTCTAGGACATCTTGGGCCGTGCTCTGAAACCATCGAAGCTCTGAAACCATTGTAATTGTGCGTTTGTGCGTTGAGTATTCCAAATCCAAACCTGGGATCCAGTGCTGCTAACTGTGTGTCAGCTGCGCTGCTAGCTGGCCTAGTCGATCGTGGTTATCTAAGGCTCCCTGAACTTCTTGTTTGGGTCCGAGGATCCTTACTCAGCCATACTCTTCATGGGCGGCCCATCCGGAATCAAACTCAGAGAACGCCGAACTGCCTCGATCATGTTTTTGGGGGCAGCGTCTTGGGATTCTGCAAATCGCACGTGTTGTTCCTGATTCTTTTGTCAACAGTAACAATGCTATCTGGTAGAGATCTGGTTCCTTTTTCTTTCGCAAGCGAGTCAAAGTGTCAAAGTATCTCAAAGTATAAATGGTGGCCTGACGGCCCCTTTGGCATTTCATGATTTCTTTGTCTACGCCTTCCTTCCTAAGGGCCGAGGTATGGCCGGGGTCCTCACCGTTTGGCCGTTTGGCTTTTAAACATGCACTGGCTTTGTTCATCTTGGTTCTTCACTACTGGGTGACCTGGCCACACCCTCATTGAAAAAGTCTGCCTCTGACTCAGTCTCATTGGTTGGACAAGGATGATGTTGTTTTCGTCTTCGCCTGCCATGCCACGAAGAGAGCCCAAGCGACCACGTCTAGCTGTGGGTCCCATCCAGTAACCGCTAGCTTTGAGGCCAAGGTCTGGTCAAATGAATGTTCATCTCTCAAAGAAATTGCCATTTGACTGTGACCCCAATCTCAGCGCTGTCTGATTGGCAAGCGAAGATGTGACCGTTTCAATGACAGGCTAAGAATGCTGGAAAGTGAACAGTGCAATGTCAATCATATACTATGTCAAGACACAGTGACGAGTGGACACAATATTGACCATAATGCATGTTCCACAAAGCGAAGGTAGAGGTGATCCCACCTTCAACCCCTGCGATTCCAACTGGCGCTCAAACTCAGCTCGATCAAAGCCCAGAGGGTTTCCACCTGGCCAGGCACCAATTGTATCCAATTGTCAAATCAAGAGAGATGTGTTTCGTTCTGGTTGGATCTGGCTGGTGGTTTCAACTCACTTGAAAGATATCTGGGATCAATCCTTTCAAGTCAAGTTTGAACTTACAAATACATGAAACCACCCACCTGGTCTTACGTTTTCTAACCAAGCATTCCATGATCTGGGACTGGAATATACCGACACTGACCCCGGGCCAACGCTCCCAATATATAGGCAACCATGCCGTGTATTTCCAGTGTCTGGCTTTAGTCACACCCAAGCAACTCCGGTCTTTGGTGGCTGCTTGCAAGAATCGTCACAAGCAAATCACTCCCATGGGCACCACGGTGTCCTATCCACAGTCCTTGAGCTACCAGTCCGACGATCGGTGAACCTTGAGCGATGAGGACGAGGTTGATGAGCAAAATCACGCCAGCGCCCAAGAGGAAGGACTCGACGTTTCCCAACTGAAAGAGGGGTTTGCCACCTCCTGGCATATCAACTTGCAGTCCAAACCTCATCTGGACCGAAAGTCTTACGATTGCTTCCAGGTCAGAAGTTCGGCTTGTTGGCTTCTTCCCCGGATCCGTTTGCGTGAAGAGCTCTCAGGCCTTTAAGAAAGCAGAAAACGTTCCCGGCAAAATCAGCAAAAATCAGCAAAAGCATCGATGCTTTTGGTGTGCATTGGTTTATTATGCATTGGTCTGTTCTCCCAAATCTTGTCGGCAATGTTTTCTCATTTTCTGAGGCCAACAAAAACTGTTGACAGCTCGAATTGTCTTGGAATGAAGTTGCCTCCTGACCAGGTGGATGGACACCTGCATTCCCCGTTGAAGAGCTTGTGAATTCAAACTCTCTCCTCTTTCTTAAGACCTCCACAGCCGCGCTTTCCGGCTACGCTGTCCTTGCTTTTTCCGGCTGACTGTGGAGGACACTGGCTTTCCACCGAAGCGGTAATCCTTCTCGAAGATCCAGTCGTTCTCCTCCTGCGCAAGTGGAACTGGCAAAAGATCTCGCTGCCAGTGCCAGGAACCCCAGCCAATCAAGGAGAGTTCGATGGGCAGGACTACTTAGTTGCTGTTGGTATGTAGTTCAGACTGCTGGCCCTGCTATATAGATATACCATGATCATCATGATATATGATATATTATGATGATATATTATGATATATACCTCTATTCCAGCTCGAACCAGTCTGAGTTTGTGTGTTGGAGCAAGCACCCGCAACCTACCTGAAACGAGTTCCCCCGTGCCTCCTTGACCGCCATGCTCCAGCCTTTAACCTGGCTGCCAAGCATCCAGCCGTCCCACTCTCCAACCCAAGTGTCTGGAGAATTCATCGTCTACGCACCAAATAGACATACCCAGAAAGTGTACCAAATATAGACATGTTATGTACATCATGTTGCGCATTTGAAACACAACGGTCTGCCTGTGCCAAAAATGGTCTGTGAAGTCATTTTGGTTGTCACTGGGAAACCCATCACCTGAATCGGCCACCGACACATGGAGCAACTCGTGTCTCAAGGTCGTGCGCTGCTCGCGTGGCGAGGCCCTTAGGATTTGTATGTTCTCTATGTACATGCGTAAAGCTAAAACTACAGACTTGCACACATACATAATATCAAACAAACATCATCTCATTCAAACATAGGATCAAAACGACATGGAACCAGCTCAGTCTAACTAGTACTCTCCACTTTTCAGAATCAGTTTCATCTCATTGCGCACCATCTACCGCCCTCACGGCCACGTCTGCCTCCCGTCGTGGTAAGCCCCGGTAGACGGAGCTCTTCGCTCCGGCGGCGATCGCGTGCGCCAGCAGCTGGGCCGTGAAGTCACTGGAGACCTGGCGGTCGAGTCGCCGGTCGCCGTGAAGCGGGGTGAAGAGACACTCTTTGGAAAAGGACATCCCCCAAAAAAACACAGGAGAATCACGCTGGAATTGAATCTTCAAACAAGGGGTGATCTAAATCTGAGGATGCACCCAACTACTTCCAGGACACTTAGGTGGTATCAGGTGGTCAGGATGCGAAGAGGTGCTTTTGTTTTGTGATAGCTTTGGAGACGAGTTGTCCGAGCTCCAAGAGTTGCACATAGAGTTGCTCATAGAAGTGATGTATGTCATGGAAAATATTGAACAACCTACAGCAGTACACTGAGGTCCCCTCTTTTCTTACAAAACCGTCTAAATTATATGTATAAATAGGAGACATTATTAATGTAGCATTCACAAAAAACACACAGTGTGTTGATGTGTGTTGGGGTGGTGATCTAATCAAATCGATCTAATTCTATAATCTCGCCAAACCCTAGCCCTTCAACGTGTTCAACCGAAACGAACACTATAGAATCGGCCAAGGAGCGGAAGTTTGGTTTGTTGTTTTGATGCGAACCCATGTGGTTTCTTCATGACTTATCAAATCTTACAATATTGGCTCAAAATGCTTGCACTCATGATCTGAGTCAATTCTTCAACACAATCCTTAATTATGCACGCTCAAGCAGTCACATAAATATAAATACCCCCATGTCACCAATATGGGTCGCTTGGTGGAGTTTTGAGTAGTTTGGGCTCGCTGATCATCTATAGAGTCCATAGACTTCAAGCCGCTTCAAGCGCAATGTGTTCGCTTGGTGGGGCAAACCGGGAGAACATACACAGTCAGTGGTTGATGTGTGACTTGCCCAAACATATTGACTATTATTGAGTCACATCTTGCATACCAAACCCAACCTGTCTAGATCAAATTCATATTTGGCATCTCCCCCCAAAATCCATTGAGTGAGTCCAGCTTAGTACACCTCCCTTAAACAACACATGTTTCCAGGTGAGTCCACCGATCCACCGATCTCTGTCTCAAACCCAAAGCCCGTTTGGCGTCTCGGTCCGAGGGGCATCCGAGGGCTCGGCGCCACTCCATGGGGTGCCCAGTTCATTGACCTTGCCAATCTCACCGGTGCCATAGTGCTCCTACCGAGCGCTGAAGAGGGGGAATGCAGGAGTGCTTGCAGGATCAGGTTTCAGGGGGTTTAGGGTTTAGGGTGAGAAGTTGGACGCCATCTCTAGGATGTCGCATGAAGACAATACATGTGCGTTTGTGGAGGGTGTGTCAAGAGCTCTCTTTGTTTCCAGGTCATCTTTGATGGGTACAGGTGGCTTGAAGTCTTGTGGCCAACGGAAACCAACCGAAGGACCCGTTCTGGAGATTAACCTCACAACCGGGAAACATACACCATCCGCACATATCTGCACCATCACCCATTCAGCGCGAGAGAAACATGTGATTGACGGAGGGATCTCCTCGTTGGTGGGATCCAACGTTTGAGAGAGGTCGATGATTGGGCAGCCCATTTCACGGCCCAAGTTCAACATCTCCTCGGAACGGAGTTCCGTGTTGGTGGAACTGAACGCTGTTTTCAGTGCATTCTGGGTGATTCTAGGGGTGCAGTGGTGTAGGTGCGGCTGGCTGGAGGTGTTTTCATATTACTAAATATGCAGGATTGTTGATTAAAGCCGACTATCTTTAAAGAAGAGAGAGAGCGAGGGAGGGAGGGAGGCAGGAAGGGAGGGAGGGAAGGAGGGAGGGAGAGAGCAAGGGAGCGAGGGAGAGGGAGTGACACTGAGGTGTCTTTTACACCAACTAGGCGCTGAGATGCAAATGCGATGGGATCACTGGGCAGTCTTGATATCTCACAATGGATCTTGAGTGATGACAGCATGCTGCTTGAGCCGCTTGTAAGACCTTACCCATGCCACATCTGCCAAGTCATCCCTTTCAGTTGTAAACACCCCATTCGCGGGGTTCGTTTACCTCTTTGTTGATCCCTGAGTGAAACATAAAACACTCACATCCTCCTGCAACATCGCTTCAAGTTGGCGCTCGTCTTTAGCTTTAGTCTCAAAGACTTCGGCTATAAGGGCAAATCAATGACCTCGGCCCATGCACTTGGCAGAGCCTCCTTTTCTTCATAACAATTTGAGAGAATTTGAGAGAGGAGACCAATTGCACATAGTCCATCATTGTCCACAATCTTACTCCCCGACAAACACAGCTGCTTTTGACACACCTTCCGCACTGGTTGTTAGTGGGTGTGTCTCGTAGCCCAGGAGAGCCCAACAAAAAATTAGGACATAGCTTACAGTCGCTTGCCCTCTCTCTCTCTCTCTTTCTCTCTCTCTCCAGCTTAAGAATCCTAGAGATACAGAATCCTGAATCCACTGGAATCACATCTAAGTAGTTTATAGGAAAGGCCGTGCTCTTTTGGTTTCCGGCACTGTTTTCAGCACATAATTAGCGACTTGTTGCAACTCTGCTTTAAAGAAAAAAACGACAAAGTAGAAGTGGAAGTGTATCTGAGGGGTATTTAAATTCTATATGTTGTTTCTTACAAAATGGACATCTTCGCCTCAAACCCAAAGCCCGGCCGCTTTGACTGTGCTGAAGGCGAAGGCGCTGTGACCATGGGATTCACCAGGTCCGGCAGAAGGCCGCGCTCCAGGACACGCGTCCCGTCGCCCAAAACGTCCTTTGGCCGCGCTTTCGCTGGTGAGTGGCAACATGGGGAGGTTGTTTTGTTGGACACACAAAGGCAGATTTCAGTCATCAAACATGATCAAAGAAAACACACATGAAGCAACAATGGCTCTTGAGGTTTACAGTAGTTTGCCTTGACTTGAGATCTGCCCATTTCTGCCCCATCGCTTGGAAAGATCTAACCGTGGAGGACTTGCGGCGCAGAGCCTCCAGGTGCCTATCTCCAATCTGAGAGTCTCCATAGATCCTCTGGCCCTCGTCATTGATTGGAGCACCCATCACCAACGAGAACTCCTGGCACAGATGGGGAATGCTAGATGACACCTAAGAACTATGACAGCAAGAAGAGTTACTTTTGTAAGTGGACTCTGTTCTTACTGATGATCTCGCCAGATCATCATTTCATTGATGGGGCATAAAGGAATGTTCTTGTAACGCTGGCGAGATCATCAAGGCTGAATTCGTGGAGCAACGACTAACCTGGTTCGCGGTACAATCTGTTATCATTGTATGATGCATCCACAAATGATTGATAGGTATACCAATAGTCTAGTACGGAAACGCTCGCCTCTTCCTGCGAACTGCTGGGCTTCACTTATCTCCTTCTCCCAACTCATCCGTGGAATACTACTAAAGGTTCTCCAGCTTGGTTCAACACACTTAAAACCAACATCCAATAACCTATTGACCGTAAAATTCACCTCGGGGAGACCGATGCCAACGGACTGACCGGACCGGCGGCTGCAGGAGATGTTTTAACAGGACTGGACAGAATATGCATGGGATTTGGACATGATGATTGATGGCTGAGCAAAGGTGACAGCTTCAAAGACACCACCGCTGCCCTTCCCAAACAAACAAAAAAGATAAAACACGTTACAAACATCGTTAACATGTCGTGCCAGGGCAGGAAGCTGGCCGAACATGTCAGCAAATGTTAATCCAAATATTCAACGGTTCAACCAAAGATTGATCCAAATGCCTGGGAACCGCAATTCGGATCATTTCACACGTGCTGCCCAAGCTGTTGGTGTCCTTCCTATACATTTGCTACCCTTCGTCCCTACCTTGTGCCTGCTATCCTTATAACGATCAGAGGTACATTATCAAACCTGCGGAAACGTCACTTCATGAAGCAGTTGTCTTCACTGCTAAACTGCTAAACATCACTGTATATCACTGTGATATCTCCCCCTGCACACACCTCTTGGACTTGGTTGCCATTGGATATGGGGATTCGAGGTTGAATCTGCTGCAAACATGAATGCCTTTGTCAAACATCCCGAAATACACCTCTTGGACTTCAAGCCAGTCAGATTTAATCACATTAACAAACGCTTGTTGCCATTTGCAGGAGCTTCGGAAGTGTCCAGTCTGTTGCGGAAGTCTGGCGAACACCGGCGGCGATCACGAGTGGCAATTGAGCGGGTTGAGTAATTGATAATTGATAGGGGATAGGATAGGGGAGTGATTTTCCATGACCTATGGAGTAAAGAAAAGAAATCAATTCAATTCCCGATGTTGAGCAGAATTGCTGAACTTGAAGTTCTGGAAGGAGTTTCTTGCCACTCGTTTACTGTAGATCCTTAGGAAATTGCAGCACAATGCAGCATCTTAGTAACAGTTGATCAAAGAAAATCTTGCCGCAAGCGAGCCGCGAGCAATTCCTCATTTTCCGTTGGGGCCACCGAGCCGTGCGTGATCGCTTGGCAGGCTGATCGGAAGTTTGCGGCAAGCTGTTGCAGCATGGGAAGGCAAGGACAGCTTGACTTTCCAGAGATGCTGGTAGCTGTAGTGTTGACAAAGAGGTGCAATCCTCAAAGGCACTCGCTTCAATCAGAGTCACTGATCTCGGAATGACCAAGCTTGTCAAAGAGGTGCACGCTGCAAAGGCGTCTTTTTGAATCTTGATTACAGTCTCAGGGATCACCAAGCTTGTCAACGATGTGCAACCCTGGAAGGCATGCCCTTGAATCTCCGTCACAGAGTTTGGAATCGTCAAGCTGCTCAAGGAGGTGCAATTCCGGAAGGCCGCTGGTCCAATCTCTGAAACGGAATTACCGATCGTCAAGCTTGTCAAGGAGGTGCAACCTGAGAAGGCGTACTCTCCAATCTTTGTCACAGAGTTTGGAATCGTCAAGCTTGTCAAGGAGGTGCAACCATGGAAGGAAGCCTTTCCAATCTCTGTCACGGAGATTGGAATCGGCAAGCTTATCAAGGAGGTGCAACCTGAGAAGGCGTACTCTCCAATCACTGAAACGGAGTTGCCGATCGTCAAGCTTGTCAAGGAGGTGCAACCCTGGAAGGTGCGCAATCCAATCTTTGTCACGAAGTTACCGATCGTCAAGCTTCTCAAGGAGGTGCAATTCCAGAAGGCCGCGGGTCCAATCTCTGAAACGGAATTACCGATTGTCAAGCTTGTCAAGGAGGTGCAACCTGAGAAGGCACTCATTCCAATCTTTGTCACAGAGTTTGGAATCGTCAAGCTTATCAAGGAGGTGCAAACCAGGAAGGCGTGCTCTCCAATCTGTGTCACAGAGTTTGGAATCGTCAAGCTTGTCAAGGATGTGCAACCCTGGAAGGCAGACGCTCGAATCTCTGTCACGGAGTTACCGATCGTCAAGCTTGTCAACGAGGTGCAAGCTGAGAAGGAGAACTCTCCAATCTTTGTCACAGAGTTTGGAATCGTCAAGCTTGTCAAGGAGGTGCAACTTGAGAAGGCGTACTCTCCAATCTTTGTCAC